AAAAAAAAAAAAAAAAAAAAAAAAAAAAAAAAAAAAAAAAAAAAAAAAAAAAAAAAAAAAAAAAAAAAAAAAACGAAGAATTGCCTATATCGCCATTTTTCAGGATTATAATCACGACTTTGTTGTTGCATAAAGTCATTAAATATTGAGGTCCAATTTTTGGTGTAATCATTATTATTACGATTCTATCGTAATAATAAAATGTTACTAAATTTGAACAAAAACGAAAAATATATATATGAATAAATGCGTCAAATTTATCAAAAACTTACTGCCGTTCTTAAATTAATTCCAACTATTTTAGTGAACCATGTGGCTTTCGCCAATGGTACTTTATGAGTAGTAACGACATCCAATAAATTAATTCCCTCTACCCTATAATATATTATTAAAAAGTTTATGAGTTTGACTTATTCTTTATCTAATTAAAAAATATTTTAAATCGTATACCCTTTTGGAACGGTCTTGGCTAATGTTCGTAGCGGAACATTGGAAGCAAGTTGTGATATCCAACGGTCCCGAGATTGAGTATCCCATACTGTTTGTGGAACTGTAACTGTATATGAAGAAGAACTATAAAAGAAATCGTTATTATCATAGTTTGGGTTAAAATTAAAAAAGTTAATTCGAAAAACTTACCCTTTTAATGTATTTATTTCTCTCTTTCTCTTCATTATATCAGTCATAAAATCGCTAAGGTTTTTTAAATTCTTTGGGTCTCTAATAGATAACATATTTCTGGCGGAAACGTGTTCAGTTGAAACAAACGGCAAATTAGTAAAGCCGTTACGAACATTATGTTCTGTCATCTGGTCTTCATCTTGCCCAGGGTTGGTAGGATAGAAATCAGGATAACCCAAATCGCTAGTCGTGTGTAAAGGCGCCAAGTTCTTTGGTGGTGCGAGTTCGTATTTTCGTAATGGTTGTGTCGCCATTTTTACAGGTCGAACATTAATTGCCGAAAAGAAAAAGAAAATTTAAAATTTTAACGTTTTTTTATAGCATACTCAGGGTTACACAACTTAAAATGAGATAATTCTTACCTTAAATTATCCTCATTTTCATCGCCACTAACTTTAACTGCTTCGCGTCTATCACCAATTATTGGAGATTATCTAAATATCCGAATTTTCATTAATTTTTCTTATAAAATAATTTTTTGGACCATGTGTCAATTCAATATTTACAAGTTAACGGAAAATTTTCTGAGAAAAGAAGAAAATCAGATAACTGAAGACAATTTAATTTAATACTTTTATTATTTGAATACTTTCATTTATTGATATTTATTGAAAATAAAACTTTGTTATTATGGATTTTCTAGTTTACTTAGATAATGGAAATTTTTGTTTGAACAATGATTATTTGCCTCTGGATAATTTTCTCGATCTATTTATGAAGAAAAATCTGATCTGTCGTGACGTTTTCGATGATCGGATACATTTTAGTAATCTTTTCGTCATAATGTAAAGCTTGATATTCATGTGATTATAACGATTAATAACAGATACGGCTAGTTTATGATGAATGCTACAAAATTTCATACATAATTGGGGAGTTTTTTTTTTTTAAAAAAAAAAATTAATTTTCTATTCTTTGAATAACTTATAAATAGTTCATTTAGGTTGAACTTATAGAATAAATTATTACTGCATAAAAATAATCAAAAAAAAAAAAAATGTCAAAATTAATCGATAACTGCCAAACTTACAAAGCTGATCTTATAAAGGATCTCGCTCAATTGATGAACTCTGGTTTTAATTATGATTCTATTGTGACTTGTGGAAATAAACCTAATGTGGTAGATTTTGAGGTGCATTCAGCAATACTTGGTGCTCGCTCTTCTTACTTTCGTTTAGCATCCTCATTGAATTATCCTTTAAGGAAGAGTGGAATGTTTTTGTTCGATTTGAAAGACATTGAACCTAATATTTTTGAATTGTTGTTGAAGTAAATATTTTATAAGAGAGAATTAAGTTTTCGGTTTTAACTAACAAATAATAACAATAATAATTAATAATTGTTTTCCTTCTTTCTCATTTTATAAAAAGATATTTTTACACCTCAAATATAGAATTAAATTCAATATCTCATGAAGAATTATTTAAACTTTTAATCGCCTGTGATGAATTAATTTTACCTTCAATTATTGATAACATTCAAATTTGTCTAATTAATAATCATTCCGAACATTTTGAATCTGACCCTTTCTCTTATCTTATTAAACTCTATACTTGTAAAAGATGTTCCACCTTAAAAACTTGGCTAATTCAACAACTTTTACAAAATCCTAAATCATTAATTTTCAATTCTCCAAATTTCAATTCCGCCAGTAAAGAGTTATTAGTAGAATTATTTCAAAGAAGATATGAAGATGTAGATGAAATTGAAATTTGGTGGAAACTTTTGGAATGGAGTGTTCACCAGGCTAATTTTTCTGTCTATTATTCTCCCTCTCCTTTTGATTATGATATATTAGAATTGAATTTAGATGAATTTGAAAGTTGGGATGAAAAAGATTGTGAACGAGTAAAACAAATTCTCTCTGAAATCATCATACTTATTAGATGGAAAGAAATCTCATTTGAAAATTTTATTGTTCATATTTCACCTCATCAAAAACTTTTTCCTCCATCTTTATATGAGAATATTCTTTCTTATTATAAAATTGAAACTAAATTCCAACCTTTCGGTCAAACTGATCCAATTGATTCAACTATTATTGTTCCAAGATATTCTTTACAACAATATTACAACTCTTCTCTCATTTCTCCTTCACATTTCAATATAATCTCAGCGTGGATTGATCGCAAAGGTTCTGGTTATTATCATAAAAGATCATTACCTTATAAATTTACGTTATTATATCGAGCTAGTAGAGATGGGTTTGATTCTAGTGTCTTTCATGAACGATGTGATAACAAAGGAGCAACTGTTATGATAGCTAAGGTTTATTTGGGTGGAAAAATTATTGGTGGTTATAATCCTTTAGATTGGAAACCTCAAGAACAAATAGAAACTTCAGAATCATCATCGAATGTTGAAAATGTTGAGAATGATAATAATAATGAGATATTAAAGAATGAATTTGGTATTATCTTAAAAGATGGAACTATCATTTATAACAAGAAAAATAACATTTTCGACACCAATTTATCTGATATTGAGCCTACTACTTCTTCTAAACTTCAAAGACATATATGGATGGATACCAAAGATGCATTTTTATTCTCATTTCAACATTTATTACCAAACACAGGTGTCCTCTCACGTGTAGTAAAATCTTCTAGTCATAAAGCAATATGTTATGATCCATTAAGTGGACCCGGATTCGGAGCGGGATTAGATATAGTTGTGTCGAATAGATATAAGATGATAAGTACTTGGGGACATTATTCATATCCTGAAGCACAATATTTCTTAGCTGAACAACATTCTGAAATTGAAGACTATGAAGTTTTCCAAGTGGAAAGAGACGAAAATATTCCGATTGATGATAATGATGAAGAGGAAAAGGTATCTTACGAAGAAAAGGATGAAACAAAGGATGAAGCAAAGGAAGAAACAAAAGAAACAGAGAAAGAAACAAAAGAAACAGAGAAAGAAATAAAAAAAGAAACAAAGAAAGAACGAAGGAGTCAAATGGACAGAATGTCTCAAGTTGATTAAAAATATCATTATTATTATCATTATTATTATTGTTGTTAGAATTATTATATTTCAATTTTATTTATTATTTCAATTTGTTGTGATAACTTTGAAAGTTTTTCAATAAAGATTATTTTATCAAATAAATCAATAATAAAGAAATTTATGATATGTTTTTCATTGAAATATTCTTTAAATATTTAGTGAATATCAAATAAATGCTATTAACACTTGCAATAGAAAAAAAAAATCAATATTTTTTTCCATTCTAAAAGATGATATCCAAATTATTATTACAATATAATAAATATAATTATGATAATTATCTTATTTATTCTACCCATTTGGCATCAATTGCCAATGCAATGAATGAAAATTTATCAGTGGTTTCATCAATCTATATATGAAAAAATAAATATGAACATAATGCAACTATAATGTAAATATAAAATATAATGAATATGTTTTACTTACAATTTTTTGTGTAGGTTTTCCTGAGCCATGACCAGCCTAATAAAGAAAAAAGAATTTAAAATTATAAATATTGTCTTTTATTTATCTTTCACAGGTTAAATGAGAAAAAAAAAGAACATGAAATATACTAAAAAATAGACAAAAGTAGGCAACCAATCTGGTAATAAGATAACCAATTTTTGGAGATTTGCATCAAAAATACTTATACTTTTGGAAATTTTTAATTTTTAATATTACATACCTTAGTACCAACTCTGATCAACAGAGGATTTGGATTATTCTTTGCAACATGTTGCAATGTTGAAATATGTTTGTAGGAGTGTAAAGGTGGTCTAATAATAAAATATAAATATAAATATAAATTAATTATGATCAAAATTATAGAATGGATAAAATGAATAAGAAATATGAATGACAAATAATTCAAATAATTACACTCTATCATCATGATCTCCTGTGGATAACAATACTGCAGGATATGGCTTTTTATTTTGTACATTATGAAGTGGAGACCACCTAAAAATAATTAACAAAAAAAAGTATTAAAAATATAAAAATATGATAGCCCAATTAATTAATTATCCAAATAAATTTAATTTAACAAACTTGTAAATATATTCAAAATCTTCTTTTTTCTCGGGATCTCCAAAATCACCTTTCCAATAATAACCAATAGTAAATTTATGATATCTCAACATATCTAAAACCCCCACATCAGATACACAAGCACCAAATAATTCAGGTGCCTAAAATAAAAAAAAAAATTTTCCCCAAGGAGATTTACATGGATTAAATGGATTCAAATAAATCGAGTAAATTTAAAATAAATCAAATAAATAAATCAAACAATTCATATTTAAGATAAATAATATTAAAAAATATTAAAAACCTGATTGATGCATGTAGATACAAGCGAACCACCATTTGATCCACCGTTAATTGCTAACTTTTCAGGTCTTGTATATTTGTTGTCAATTAACCATTTTGCAATTGACTTTGTAAATAAATAAATCATATATTATTATTATTATTATTATTTATTTGTATTATTATTATTTATTAATTAAAAATAAAATAAAAATTAATAAAAATAATGATGATAAAATCTTAAATAAATACCTGAAAATCATCATTCGTATTTTGTCTATTTAATAATATTCCTGACTTATGCCATTCTTCTCCATACTCACCACCACCACGGATAATAGCAACAGCTATAACTGCATTATAATTTTGGGCAAATGTCATCCAAGAAGGTCTAAAGCTTGGTGTCAGACTTACATTGAATCCACCATATCCATACAAAAAAGTTGGATTATTTCCGTCCAATTTGAGATTCTATAAATAATAATAATATAATAATAATAATAATAATAATTTAATAATTTTAATAAATTTAATTACTAATAATTTATATTTATTTACATTAATAATTCTTTATTATTCTTTGTGCAGAGACTAACCTTAGGAGCAACAATAAATATTGGAAGTCTTGTTTTATCTTTACTTTCAGTAAATACTTGTTTTGTTTCGAATAATTCACTATTTAATCCTTCAACAATTGTTCTCTTGTATTCTGTCAAACTCTCTTTAATGAAATCGTATTTGTAAATAATTCCTGGATTCAAAAAATTAACAGTCTTAAAGAAAAATTCAGTATCTTCTTCCCTTCCACTAATAGAAGATACAGTTCCAATTGGAATTGATAAATTAGTTTTATGTTTGCCGGTGGATAAGTCATGTATACATATTATTTCATGAACATCATGCATATAGATTAGAATCAAATTTGTTTCAGCCACGACGAGGGTATGCGAGAGAACATCTTGTGAATTTTCTTTTATAAAGTCAATAAATCCCTTTAAATTAATGAATAATATATATTTAATATTATTAAATATTGTATAATACTGTATATGACAAATAAAGGAAAAATATATATATATTTTTACTTGTTCAGGGTGAGCTAAATCGTATTTCACCACTTTATCACGAGGAGCATTTGAATTAGTCTTGAAGTAGAAAATCGTGCCTTCATTTATAATACTATAGAAAATAATAAACATATAAATATACATAATATTAATTAATATTAATTAAATATATATGAATCAAATTAGTTAATGAACTCTATAAAAACTTACTAATGATATTTTGCTTCAAACTCATCTATAATTTTAATAAAATCGAAATTCTCAACGATTTGATAATTCGTTTTTTCCAAGTCACAAATCCATAATTTATTCATTTTATTACTATCCTTTGACACTGTAATAATAATATATCTTCCATCTTTACTGACAGTTGGATTAAACATAAAATTAGGATTGTTTGGATCCTTATAAACAAGAATATCTTTGGATTGTGGTGTCCCGATTTTATGATAATAAAGCTTTAATTAAAAGAAAATAAAGTTTTTATGAATAATATAAAAGGTTGTATGAATGATATAATAAAAAGTTATATAAATAATATAAAATAATATAAAATAATATAAAAAGTTGTATTCAAAAAAAAAAGTCACCATGGCATTTTTGTTAATATCGTTTTCGGTACCTTTATCATCACCTTTTTCAGGTTGAGGATATTTCTACATAATAAATGACATGATAAAAGAATTATATTTAAGAATAAGACTTTAGGATAATCTTTTTTTTTAATTATTAAAAAAAAATTACCAAATAAAAAAAACCAGCTTCATCATGAGTCCAAGTGCAATCGCTATATCTAGACCATTCAATAACATCATTTAATTGACCTTTTCCTCCTAATTCAAGATCTGTGCGTTTTACATAAATAGTAGCCCAATCACTTCCTTTAAAATAAATAAAATAATAATAAATAATAATCATAATAAAATAATAATAATAATAATAAATAATAATAATAATAATAATAAATAATAAATAATAATAATAATAATAATAATAATAATAATAATAATAATAATAGTTAATCAATATTTTTTTACCTGATTTTGAGATACCATAAGCAAAATAATTTCCTTTTTTTGAAAATGAGTAAAAGTTAAGTGATGCAGTTCCATCCTCTTCAAGAGTATTTGGCTTTCAAGAAAAAAAAAATGTAATCAAATTAGAGAATTGAAAGGGAATGAAAAGAGATTGATTCAATAAAGAATTTGAACTAACATTGAAGAATTCAACACGAGGAGAATCTAGAGAATTTTTTAATTGATACAAAACACTGAGGAAAAAGAAGAAAAAAAAAAGTAATTAATCTGAATAATAATAATAATAATAATAATAATAATAATAATAATAATAATAATAATAATAATAATAATAATAATAATAATAATTGAATGATATTGATTATTAAATAATGGTAACTACCTTTGCGCTTGCAAACCTGTATTATAAAAATAATAATAATTATTACCTCTCTTAAATGGGACTCCGTATTTTTCATAATCATAAATTTTGGTTAAACTAAAAATGAGATTAATTAATAATTTTTTAGAATATATAAATTATCAAAAAAAATGTCAAAAAGAAGAATTATAAAAAGTAAAAGAAGAATTATAAGTCAAAAGAAGAATTATAAGAAGCAAAAGAAAAATTATAAGAAGTCAAAAGAAAAAGACATTATTATTAAAAAAAATAAACATACGCTTCTCGAAAATTTTCGCGGTATGGATAAGTATCTAAGTACTTGAACGTAAGAGTATTTTGTGCTTCTACAAATGCCTGATAGTTCATATTAAATATAAATAATATAAATTCATGTATATTTTAAAGAAGGAAAAAATTGGGACGATAAAATCAAGATACTTGATATTATCTTTATCCAAGTCAGGTTTATCTAACCTTTGTTTCTTCGGAGTGAGGGTCTTCTAACCATCTATAAGGGTCAGCAACATTTGTACCATGTAAATTGTCTACAATCGTTTCGTCTCGTCTAACGGAAGGATATTTTAAAATATTATTGTTAGAAGTGGTCATTTTACTTATTTTACTTATTTTACTTAAATTTTTGGTGGGGAAAAAATTGAATTTCGAACAACTCGATCTCCGAAGAATATTCAAATATATTGATGATAATAATAATATCATTGGTTAACTAGATTTTTAACTTTTTTTAGATTAATTTAATTAATTTAAAGTTTTCGAAGAATTTTAATTTTAATTATTATATTAATTTTATTAATTTGGTAATTTAATAAAATTTAATAATAATAATAAAAAAAAACATCGCATTTTGAATTTTTACAAAAATATATTTTTTTTTGAGTATCTACATAAAAATAAAAATAAAATAAAAAAATACATAAAAATACTATCGTTCATATTCGTTATTATAAGAAAATCTATTTCAAAAATTTTTTAAATTTTTACCAAAAAAAAAAAAAACAAAAAACAAAAAGTAATATATTTGCAAAAAAAAAAACCAAAATATTGTTGAAAAAATATTAATGGGAAAAAAAATAAAATAAATAACAGACAGACAGATAATTGCCAAATAATTTTAATCTTTAATCTTCAATTTTTATTTCATTTTTTTAATTTTTTTATTTTATTTTTCATCTCTTTTCTCACCTAATAATTTTATTAATTTTTCAATTTCAAAATCTTTCTCTTTAACCGAATTTTTTAATAAATCATTTTCAATTTCTAATTCATTAATTTGATTTTCCAATTGTTCCCTTTGAACTCTTTTTCTAGTTCGAGAACGACGAGCGGCCTGTCGATTTTTTTCTCTTCGTCTTTTATCTTTTTGTTCTTTTTCTTCTAATGATTGACGACGTCGAGGACGACCAATATGTTTGTGAGAGTGAGAAGTAGATGATTGACGTTGTAAAGAGGAAGGGAGAGAAGTAGAAAGAGAAGAAGAGAGAGAGGAAGAGAGAGAAGATGAAGAAGAGGAAGTTGTAATAATAGTGGCAGTAATATCAAATCCAAGTTCCATAGGAGTAGGAGAAGAAGAATCTTGACTATCATTTCCATTATCGGATGGAATTGATGAATCATTAGGTGAATTATAATCAATTCCCAGAGTGGGATGAGTGAGATGAGTGGGATGATTGGGATGAATGGGACGAATGGGATGAGTGGAGTGAATTGAAGATGAAGATAATTGATTTTTCGTCATACTATCAGATATTTTGTTGTTGTTGATAATATCAGACATGTTGTTAATATTATCAGATATGTTGTTATCCGAAATTTTAATGCCATTAAAAGAATTAATGGTATTAATTGATTTATTATTATTTGTTGGTTGATGAATGAGGGTAAGTTGAGGTGGTTGAGAAAGACGTTGTTGTTGTTTCAATATAGGAGATTGATTTAATGAAGAGATTTGTGTTTGAGAGAAAGTACAAGTTTCAGGTTCTTCTCTAGGTTGAATGTTTAAATCTGTAGAAGATGTATCTTGATTAACAATAAGATTAAAAGAAGTTTGAGGGGGGAATGACGTATCATAGGAAGAAGCGGAAGAAACGGAAGAAGTGGAAGAAGAAGAATTGGAAGAAGAAGAGGAAGAAGAAGAAGAATTGGAGGAAGAAAGGTGAAGAGATGAATTAAGGAAAGGATAAGAATGAAAAGAAGAAGGTTCTGACAATGGAAAAAGAGATTCAACAAAATTATCATTAACAAAGTTAAAAGATTGTTGTTGTTGTTGTTGTTGTTGTTGTCGTTGATGTTGTTCAATAAATGTTTGAGGGATACTAATTAAAGTTGAAAGTTCAGGAACAATTTCAGCTGGAGTTGTATGAACAATTAAAAAATGAGGAACTTGATCATTAGAAAATTGTTGTGATTTCGAATTTAATTCTTCAATCGGAGGATTCCACCATAATAAACTACTACTTTTGTTTAATTGAGACATTTTTTTTTCCAAGATATTAAAAAAATGATATTAAAAAATTAGAAAATAAAAATATCCAAATAAGAAATAGAATGAATCGTTTTGAGAATGAATTAATGAAGAGGAGAGAAGAAGAAGGATGAGAAGAAGAAATAATGAAATAAAATTGAATTTGTATTTTATAGGAAATATAGGGAATAAGAAGAATACTTGAATACATAGACGTGTTATATATTTATTCTACGATATTTTTTCTCTTCTAATGATAATCGATTAAAAAATGTGCTGATGTGTCTATATGAAAATGACCACCAGATTATATATATCGTTAAGTCAACTGGTTCTATATATTTTTTTATACATATATAATATATATATAATATATATTTATTTTGTATATGAAGATAGATAGATAGATTTTTTAAATAATTTTTATTTTAGCGGCATAAATTGACACATTCTTTTACATGTTATTATCTCTTTTTTTCTCTCTCTCTCTCTCTCTTTTCTTTTAGGATAGAGTTATATATATTTTATATTTTTTAATATTTTTAATATTTTTTAATCTTTTATTTTATCTTTATTTTTTTTTATCGTCTATTCGTAAATTATTAATTGTAAAATTTGGTGACGTTCTTTTTTTAGATTTCCGATATACAATTTTTTTGATTTTTTGGAACACAAATTTTTATAAAATTATTATAAAAAGTAAAGTAAAATAATAATAAAGTAAAATAATAAAGTAAAATAAGTGTTGGAATAGTAAGTATATTATTTCACTTCACGGGTCTTTCTTTTTTTTTTTTGAAAAAATAAAATATTAATGATTTGATAAAGGTTTTTTTTCTCTAATAACTCGTGATCGATGATTTCAAATACATTGTCAATATATTTTTTTTTTTTTGAAATAATTTATAATTTATTTTTTTTTAAAAGAAATAACAAGTAAAAAAGTAAATAAATATAAATAATATACAAGATTTTGTAAATCAGCTAATACAGTCAGTAACAAGAAACAAGAGTAATACTCGAAGTCATAACAGGTTATAAATAATGTTTGAATAATGTTGTTTTACTAGTTCATTTGATATTGTAATAAATATAATTTATATATACTACTCCACTCAACTTCATTCACTCATTTCATTTAATCTTGTTGCAGTAATTTTATTATATATTGTTGCCCAATCGTTCCATTCAGCGAAATCAATAGTATTAGGAAGTGATAATAATAATGAGTGATTATCATTTTCATCAAATGAAGTTTCATTATTAATATTAATAATATTATTATAATTATAATTATAATTATTATTAATATTATTAATATCGAGAAGAGGGAATTCATTCAATTTCATTAAATCTATTAATGATGAATCATTAATGTTATGATTATTATGATTATTATGATTATTGTGATTATTGTGATTATGATTATTATTATTATTATTATTATTATTATTATTATTATTATTATTATTATTATTATTATTATTATTATT